GGTGGGTGGAGTCAACAAACTGAAGCTAACACCAGCTAAAAGCAGCTAACACCAGCTAACACCAGCTAAAAGCAGCTAACACCAGCTAACAGCAGCTAAAAGCAGCTAACACCAGCTAACACCAGCTAAAAGCAGCTAACAGCAGCTAACACCAGCTAAAAGCAGCTAACACCAGCTAAAAGCAGCTAACACCAGCTAACACCAGCTAACAGCAGCTAACAGCAGCTAACACCAGCTAAAAGCAGCTAACACCAGCTAAAAGCAGCTAACACCAGCTAACAGCAGCTAAAAGCAGCTAACAGCAGCTAAAAGCAGCTAACAGCTGCTAACAGCAGCTAACAGCAGCTAAAAGCAGCTAACACCAGCTAACAGCAGCTAACAGCAGCTAAAAGCAGCTAACAGCAGCTAAAAGCAGCTAAAAGCTAACAGCAGGTGTTGTGTCAGTTTACAGAGCAGGACAAGAAGCTGATGGAGGCCACATCAGAGTTCCATCACCAGGTAAAAGCTCACCTGACGAAGGTCAAAGGTCGCACACCTCACTGCTTGAACCTGATTGGCTGCTTCATGATGACATCATCATGTTTTCAGAAAGCCAACCTGGAAAATGACAACATGGAGATCAACAAGAAGATCGACCTGCAGGTGGCCTCACTGAAGACCCTGCTGGAGTCCCTGAAGCTGGAGACGGTCCGGTACCTGGCAGGTAGGTTGTGGTGTCGGTCCGGTTCTGTCCGACCCGGTTCTGTTCTTTAAATGATCCGATTTTAACCATCAGCCTGTTCTTCACAGCGACGGTCTTCTCCTGCCTGGCCATCGCTCTGGGGGTCTACAGACTGTGGAGGTGACGGGTCCACATCAGAACTGGGTCCAGTCGTCAGCTCAGTTCTGCTGGATGGACTCAACATCCTCAAACACATGAAACTGTTTGAGGATCAGAACTTCTGCAGGTTTTGACTCCAAACCTTTACTCTGAAGGACTTCCTGTTTGTTCTTTTCAAATTAAAACATGTTTTTTAAAATAAACCTTTATTCTGAAGGAGTTCCTGTTTGTTA